TGCACAATATACAGGTCTTCTATGGAAGGCAGGGTGGCTGCAATTGTTTTTCTGCAGTCCTATCAGTTGGAGTCTGCACCTGTCCTGTTTAGTTACTATACCAAACCAGACCAGACAGTTATAGAAGTACAAATGACAGATTCAATAATTCTTCTATATAATTGCATCAGCAACTCGTAGGGCAGTCTGAACTTCTTACATTGACACAGAAAGGACATTCCTTGTTGTGCCTTTTTGATGATGGTCCTAATGTTAGGTGACCATTTCAAATCCTGGGAGATTATAGAACTCCAAAACCTGAAGGATTCTACTGCTGATACTGTGCTGTTGAATACAGTAAGAGGTGGGAGAATAGAAGGGCTCCTCCTAAAATCCACTCTCATCTCTAAAGTTTTAAGCATGTTCAGTTCCAGATTGTTCTGGCTACACCACAGTGCCAGTTGTTCAACCTCCCACCTATATGCAGATTCTTCATCATCTCGAATGAAACCAATGATTGTTGTATTATCTGCAAACTTCAGTGCTTTAACAGAAGGATCCTTGGAGATGCAGTCTTTGGTATAGAAGAGAAGAGCAATAAAAAGAGCACACAGCCCTGAAGCACACCTGTGCTAATTGTCTGGGTGCTCAATGTGATTTTCTCTAACATCAATTGTTGCTTCGTGTTTGTCAAAAAGCTAGTAATCCACCTACAAATATGGATAGGCACAGCTAGCTTAGAGTGAAGAGTTTCTGGAATGATGGTATTGAATGCTAAGCAGAAGTCTACAAATAGGACCTGTGCATAGATCCCTAAGGATTAAAAATGTTATAAGATATAGTGCAGTTCCACATTGACAGCATCATCTGCAAATCTATTTGCTCAGTAGAGAAACTGCAAGGAGTCTAATAGTGGATTCATGATGATTTTCAGGTGAGCCAATACTAACCGTTCAAAGATCTTTGTAACTACAGATGTCAGTGTGACCGGTCTAAAGTCATTAAGCTCCCTGATTGAAGGTTTCTTGGGAACTGGGATGATAGTAGAGCATTTGAAGCAAGAAGGGACATAGCACATCTTCAGTGATTTATTAAAGATGCAGGTGAAGATGGGGGCCAGTTGCTCAGCATTGGTTTTCAAGCAAGAAGAAGTAATTCTACCTGGACCTGGTGCTTTTCCAGTCTTTTGTCTATGACATAGGCCTTGCACATCTTTTTCTAAGATCACCATTGGTGGGGGGCTCAGAGGGATGGAAATAGGTGTAGGAGATTTGGTTGCTGCGGTATATCTGAGGTGGGGAAAGTAGTGAAAGTCGACAGTGATTTCCACTCACATCTACAGTAGACCACATTCAGGTCACCCCCCGGTTGACAATTCTCTTCAATAAAGAAGGGAGATCTGTTGTGGCCAATGATATTTTTCAATCTTCTCCACACATTTTCTGGTTCATTAGTTGAGAACTGATTCCTCAGGTTTTCAAAATAGTTTCTCTTTGCTACCCTGATTTTTTATGATATAAATAAGAGTTAGGAATAATTTTATTTATTTCTTTTGTATGGGTGTCATGTAATCCGTTTGGATAAAATACAAATTAAAATGTGAATACATACACACTTTCTAATTTTGAACAGAGGAATTTTTTTTTAAAAAAAACATTCTTTATTTGAAAAAATCAGTATACAATGAAGTCTTGCTTTTATGGACTTGCAGGAGATCAATACTTATTATCCTTGAATTTTTTTTGATAAATGGAAATTACATCATCACCATAATTAGACCATTTGCTTGATGGTGTCAACATTTAAATTACATCAGTTGTGCAAATTTACCTCATTTGCAGAATGACAGCTCTAGGAACATGATGTAAATCACAGTGGAATTTGGTCTACTGCACAGGACGTTCATTGCATAAACTGAGGTTTCATTATTTCTTGGCTCATAATGGTACCAGGAAGTAGATATAGTGTTGTATTAATTTCATTGGTAAAAGGTTCAAAATAGAACAAAGCAGTTTTTAGGGTCTAAGTAATAATCATCTTTCATTGTGCCAGAAATAAGGAAGGTATACATTAATAGGATCACCTATTAATTTCCTTAACCTTTCCTTAACCTATTAATTTCCTTAACCTTTAAAATCACTAACAAGTTCTACTAACTTTATCTATTTCACATAGACTGAAATCTCCCTAAAGGATAATGGTCATAAATTTATTATAGACCCATCCACTCAGGGACCTCCTTGTTCAACAGATGCATCAATATTTTTACCTCCTTCCTCTTTCCATCTTCCTTGATTTCCATACAGTTCTAGCAAAAAGCTACACAGATGGCTGAATCTTTCATTTCTTCTCCTTTGCTCAGTTTCTGGATTTTGAATTTTGAATTACTAAGACAAGATCATGTGTTGCCCTTTTACTTCAGTGGGAGTTTTAAAAGAAGACTGTAGACTGGGGCTGATTAGTTTAAACAATGTTTTTTAAGGTTTTTTTTTTCTACATTGAAATGTACCCTTATGTAATGCTCCTTTTGGCATGCTGATCCTTCATTAGTTTAAATTGTAAAATCCCAAATAGTTTGTTTTTAAGGAAGGAGTGACATTTTTGGACAGAAGTAGCTGCATATTCCAAAAACATGTCTGGAACATTTGGTCCTAATAAAACAGTCCTTTCATTTTATTACTCTTGCTATCTCTTTATGCAATAAAAAAAGTGACTTTGCTCTACATCAGCAGAAGACAAATTTATGCAAGAATTGATTTTCATAAAAGAATGTCTTATTCCATTTGCAACTCAAAAGTCTGGTTATTATTATAGTCAGCAGATTATTCTATACTGTGAATAAGATGTAATATGATTCTTCTTCAAGCATTTAGAAAACTGGCAAGAGAATACTTATAGATTCTACTATTGTAATCATAGTAGGAGGCTTGCCAGAAGTCAGCATAAATTTAACAGAATAAGCTTTGCCAGACTAATTTTACCTCATTTTTTTTGATTGGGTAACTACTTAAGTACATTACGGGAACATGATACACATATTGATATTTCAGCAAAGGCTTTATGAAGGACCTCAAGACATTCTGATTAGTGAGGTAAATAATAGAATGTAGAAGAATTAAGTGATTCCATGGCTGGCTCAAAAATACTACTCAAGCTTTGCTTATCAATGACTCCTCATAACATTAGAGAGAAATATTGAGGTTCCACAATGTTTATATTGTTTGACAGTTATGTTTATGACTTGAATAGGTGTTGAGAGAGAGCTTTTCAAAATTGAAGGAGACACAAAAATGGATAAGAGAGTTAATACTTTAGAAGACAGAAACAACATTCAAAACAATATTGATTGGTAAGAAAACTGGACTGAAAATATTTTTAACAAAACAAATGTTAAGTTATTAACAAAGCAAAGTTATTAACTAAGGAAACAGAAAGCAAATACATGTGCAGAATGGAGAGTATTTAGCTTGGCAACGGCATTTGGAATAACAGTTGAATAAAACTGAATGTGATTCAGCAGCATGATATGGCTTTCCAAAGAGACAATTGTGGTTTTAGGACTGCATCAACAGGAGTACAGTTTCCAAATCATGGCAAGTAATATTCCAGTTTTGTCTGTGTTGGTCAGGTCCCAGCTTGAGTATTGTCTCCAGTTTTGGTCACTAAACCTTTCAAAAGGACTCAGAAACAAGTTCAGAGTAGTGTATTCGGGGAGACCAGAAAATACCGTAAGTCTTTTGAAGGAAAATGAAAGAAACTGAGAATGTTTGGTCCTGAGAAGATAATAGTTGAAGGGGATAGGCATGGCTTTATTTATTTATAAAATTTATTGGTTGCTGATCTTACCGTAGGGTAACTCTCTGGGCAGTTTACAGTCATAAATTAAAGCCGAACATCCAAATCTAATCTCTTCTTACTCCTATTTTGCTCACAACAGCAAATCTGTGAGGTGAATTGGACTGACACAGAGTGACTGGGTTCAAGTCACCCAGCTGGCTTTCATGTGTGCTTCAGGTATGCAAAGAAAACCAGGACCTGTTCTTTATCATCCCAGAAAGCTGAGTGTAGAATAATAGACTATATTATAAAACCATATTCTGGTTGAATGTAATGGAAAATATTTTAACAGTAAAAGCAGTACAACTATGGAAACAATCACCCCACTAAGTTTCTCTTCACTGAATGTGTTCAAGTGTGAATATATATCTCAGTCTTTTGCTTGCAGAGCCCCTACATGCAAATGAAAATGCCAGACATTTTGTGAGATCCTAAACAGATAGAGGTTATTCTTCACCCTACCTATGGAAGAATTCTTTTGCCAGTAAAAGTGGCATGTATTCTCATTTTCCTAAATCCAAGTTTACTCTTATCGGTTTTCTGACTGTAATCTTCCCAGAAATTTAGCAAAGTAGCATGTCTTGGCAAGGCATGGAAATGAAGGAAAAAAGTTTTTTTTTACCTAATTAAAATCTGTACGACTGGCTGCTGTTAAAGGCAAAGAGTACAGGCAAGAAAGTCGTTAATTTAGATGCTAGTGAGTCAGATTGATATTGATTGCGCAGCTTAATTATAAACGGTCGGGTATTCAAATTGTTGCATATTCAATCAGTCTTCAAACAGATGTTAGAAAACAAACACAATTATAATTATGATTTCTGTGAGAGGAGTCTATTTCATAGGGACAACTGAGAGGTGACTTTTTAAAATAATTAACAAGAGGACCATGTTTTTATGGCTGTGTAGCAAGGAGAATTAAACAGTTAAAGGAACAAAAAACGTCTTTTGATCACTTCCATATGGTATCTATTTGAAGACTGAGCACATCACAAACATGGGGATAATAATTAGGTATACGAGTTGGAAAACACAATTTAAGCTATTGCAGCCAAACTTCTCATAATTTTATCTATGTATGTATTAATCACATAGAAATACAGTTTGATTTTTTTTTGTAAGCCTTTATTCATTTAGGGCCTGTTTAACTAGACCTTAAATGAATAAATGATTGACAGCAGTCAACATTTCAGTCTCTATGTTTATTAAACATTTACATAACCATGCTATAAAATAGCAATAATAGTTGTCTCTTGAGAATTTTCAGTAGTCTGAAAAACTGCATGCGCATTGCCTTTTGTCGGGGAAAGCCACTTGTCATGTGCCTCACGAAAGCACTTGTCATCTGAAGATGAGCTTAAACCACCAGACCAAGAGACAGCTCCACAAGGTCCTGAAGAAGAATTCAGAAGAGGAAAGTTCAAATTTGAACACAAAGATCCTATGCTCAACTTGGAGAAGGTGAACTTCAGAGTGTACAAGTGATTGAAGATTCAGCTATGGCTACTTTATATGAGTCACAAGATTCAGATGCCAGGATATATATAGTCCAGCTATTACAGCCCTATTCCGAATACTTCTGACTATATTGGAGAAAGCTATTGAAAAAGAATAACCTTATGCAAGTGATTATATTAACAATTTCAACCATTTTATTGGCCTGTAGGCAGCTAATGTACTCCAAACAAAGCAAAACAAAAACCTTCAGAGAGCAGACCAGATTGGTAAACTAGAACTATACACGTTTTATTTACATATAGTTTTTATTTTTGTTGATCCAAAAATGGAACCTTTTGGCTGTGCTTATACCCAAAATATGTTAACTACAGTAAAAAGCAACTGAATGAAGAATTAGCTTCTAGTTTGTGCATCAGCAGTAAGTTTGTTAAATTTCCATCAGCTGCACCTGTGATAAATGTTGAAAACAATGGGTTTATCTGAGTTTTAATTGGGAGGCAACAGGATTTCACAGAAGTGATCTTGCAAATTTCACTATAAGTAAAAACATAGAGTAGAAGAAGCCACTATTTTTTTTTGCCTAAAGAATATTTGACCAATTTAGAGCATAAGGTGGCTTTTAACTCATACATTACTAGAGGTTTTTAACTTGTATATTGCTGGCACAGAGTGTGATGTGTTAAGATTCTAACACTATTATTATATCTGTTCTACAAAACTACATTACTGAATGCAATCATTCTTTGTCCCTGTTCCCCCAATCTTAATTAAATAAAGGTTAATTGATTGATAACCTCTGGGAGGTTAAATTTAACCTCAAATAGACCCAATCATGCACAGTGTTAAATTAACTTTTCCGATGAATCATATTGTGGAACACTTAAACCCAGTATATTCCTCCATATTCTCCAAGAAAAATTGCTGAGAAGAATGTCTAAAAAGAGAAGCCTCTCCAATGCAGACCTCATTACTAAGGTTGGGTAGTCCCAAATAAACCTCCCAAATATCTTTATGTGGCTTAAGGAATACTTGTCAAGAGTCTCCTGGTGCAGAAATTCAGGATGGACAGGATATCACCCCTTGAGAGAGGAGGTGAGGAACATTTATTACCCAAAGTATGATTTCTGTCAATAAGAAGATTTGACATCGATAGGGATGTTGGGGAAACAGAGCCTTAGATTACAATAGTGCCATACTCCAATTGTGAAATTGCATGAAGTTATTTACTTATCATTTTCTTACGCAACCAGGCAAGTTTTTAGAGTCTGGAGCAAAGTATTCCAGTTGCTCCTCTTTTCTGTCCTTGCACTTGCAAAAGCCCATCTTTGTTTGGATTGGGATCAGGATTTTAAAAACATGTATTAATTATCACACTTGAAAATTAAAATTCAAACTTGGTGGGCGTGGCCAACTCTTTTTTTTTTACTTTTAAAAGCACTTTTTCTGCAACCTTAAGAGGTTGCAGAAAAAAATGCTTTTAAAAGCCTCTGACGATCAGGCAACTCAGCTGGGATTGTCAGAGGCTTTTAAAAGCATTTTTTTCTACAACCTCTACAAGAAGTTGCAGAAAAAATGCTTTTAAAAGAAAAAAAAAAGCCTCTGATGAGGTGTGCGGGGTAAGCGAGCGGCAACCGGGCCAGGGACCGGTTCGGGGCGTGGCCAGCCAATGTTATTACCGGTTCTCTAAAATACTACAAATTTTTACTACCGGTTCTTGCGAACTGGTGTGAACCGGGAGCAACCCACCACTGTCCTAGGCCCAAAATGGGGTGCAGTGGGGTGGCGCGTTCCTCCATGGCCTGTTTGTGCCCCCAACGGGGTGCAGGAGGCCGAGTGCTTCCTGTCACACCCCCTGGCCATGGCCACCATGGCCACCCTCACCCAGTTAGTCATTAGAGCAGAGAACCGGTTGTTAAATTATTTGAATCCCACCAGTGGCTACAATATCTCTTTCAAAAGACTTGGAATCCGGAAATGCTTGAATACTAATGAAGAGTCTTATTCAAAGGCATCTAGAATTGAAAGACCCTACTAAGAAATTTTCTAAACAACCATGGGAAAAAACCTGCAACTCAATTTCTTCATGACTATGTAGAAATATGGTAAAGATTTTTGCCATCATCCACTTGTCATTGTAAACATCTTCAAGGACTAGGATATTCCCAGCAGTATTCATCCCACTGCTACAAAAAGCATAAACAGCTGATCCAAAGATGTTGACTTGTCTAAATGTCAGCAGTGCATTTGTTTTCTATTTGCTTCATACCAGAAAGCAAATGTGTTATGTTGAATGAAAAGATCATACAATCACATTCATGGCAGACAAACCAATAACATACATTGGGAAGATCAGAGAGTCAGCCATCCATCAGTCTTTTTAGTATCAGAATGATCATTTAATATTAATACACTCACTCACTTTTTCAGCTAAGCTGGTAAAACAATGTATGAATTTATCTTAAAGAGCAATCTGTTTGCTTTATTCTCCTTAGTCATAGATGTATAAGGTCAATCATTGAGTCTTTCTGCTTTTCTGAACCAATCTCAATTGCAGAGCAAAATTTCTGATTTTAGCATCTTTCCGTTTGACTTAAAAATGTAGCAGATGAATATGCCACGATCTTATAAATATGTCATGCCAAAACCAGCTTCACCTTTATGTCAGGCTATTATTTTAAAAAAACAAACAAAAGCAAAGCAAATAAAAAGCTACACCCACATAATTGCATCCACCCCAAAAGTATGGAGTGATTTCTCTATAAAGCATTGGTCTGTCTGATAGGCACAGGAGCTGTTTTGCATCCTAATGAAATACAGGCATGAGAAAAGCAGTACCACGGCCTTTAAAACACCAGTCTTTCTCTATTAAATCTAGCAATTCATGGTAAATTTATTAGTTTGCACGTGTTTTAGGCTCATGTATCAAGGCAGCCACTTTAGGCAAACAAACTCTAATTGGTAGAACAAATAGAAAACCCTAAGGATGGCTATGCCTAATGACATTGCCAGTATTCTGTAATGTCTCTACTACAAAAATTACTCATTTCATGGCTCTAGGCAATGCAAGTTAATTTATTTATATCAGTTGCTAAGTTAAACATGCACTTCTAAGAAGATATACTGTATTTTGCCCACCTAGGAATGTTTCCGGCAATTCAGCTTTTAAATAAGGGAGAACAAGGCAGAAGCAGATGGAAGACAAGCGGACAGGCTGACTGATAAGAAGCAAATTTAATAATAATTACAAAAGCACCAATCCTTTTATTCAAGCATCCTTAAGAGGAATTCATACTGATTTCATTTTTTAGTAAAGTATACATTATGCAATTGTAATTTGAAATTTGTTTACCCAGACCTAGATAACCAAATTATCCATAGTCAGTGTTTGGTCTCCCAGTAGCTCCTTATCACTGAACTGAATGTAACTATTTATTCTAGGTTATGAGTTTAAGAGTTTATTGGATTTGGATTGGATTGAAAAATCAGAATTTTTCAGATATTGTCCAATCCACTCAGAAGAGATCATATTTTTATATTCCATGTATTACTGTATGCATGATGGAGTGTAGTAAATTAATTCATTCTAATTAGTTTGTTTTAGTTCTTGTACTAAAATAAATTATCTCAGGGAGAACAGAACGCTAGTGTCAAAAATACTTCCTAAATTCTAGTTATGGACAATGTAATGGAAGTCATAGATCAAGACAGAAGATTCTTCTAAAGCCTTCTTCATCAACATGACTCAGAAGATAGTATAATATAGAAGAATTGGTACTGAGTTCATGGTAGAAAATGATTATTCACTATGTCTACCTTGCTTCCCCGTAAGCATAGGTACAGTATAGCATCATTGTCAACCACATCATGTCTTAGCAAGAAACTATGGATCAATCAGGTATTAAAATTGAACTGGTAAATGAAAATGTATTAGCCATCCTGGAGGGATAGCTACTTCATCACCTAGCATGCATTCTTGCCATCTATGGCAAGTCTTTCTAAAAAAAGAATAGGATTGCTTTTCCTTTCTTACTAATTATTTCATATGCACTGTCAAAGATACATGGCTACCTAGACATGTGGCTTCACTATCAGCTTTGAAATCAATTTACCAGAATAGCACACAATATTTCAGAGAAGTAGAATCTATTGCTTATATATTTCTTTATTTGGTGTCTTCAAATCGGTGTTGACTGCCTTGATAAACCCTGGTTTTCTTGGAACATTTGCAGAAATGGTTTTCCACTATCTTCTTCCTATGTTTGAAAGAAAGGGACAGTCCAATATCATCCATGACTAAGGTTTCATGACTAAGGAAAGACTAGAAATCATGGTTTAGCCATGGTTTAAACACTACACTAAACTGACTCTCTTTTCTAAAATTGCTTTTAGATAAAGTTGATTTAGCAGTATTTCCTAACATAAAAAAACATGCCCTTTTCTTTTTGCCTCACACTGAATGGCTCTAATGAGCTATGCAGCACAGTTTCAACATCCCTTTTCTGCCCTTCACATCCAATTAATACAATTTATTTGCCTCAGTATGTGTCACTTTATTCTTACTTACGTTAAACCATATTTGCCATTTTTATTTTCTTTTTTTAAAAAAATGATCTTCCTAAAGCTTTCCACAGTGGGGATTTTGGGAATGTCAGCATACTGAGTCATTTGGTTACCATCTGCAGTTATTCATCCTAGGTTTCATTTAATTAATAGTAAGTTAAATTGCATTAATCCCAATACACAGATTAATCCTGGGAAATGCACTCCCCTTCAGATAGTTGTTCGCCCTCCATTCCTTGACTGGGCATCATAACCCCTTTAGGCGTTTCCTTGAACTGTTGCCTTTTTAGATGTTTCTTAGCCCATGGAGAAATTTTGAAACAGAACCCAACTCCCCAAGACTGGAGATAATTGCATCAAAAGATGCCCATGGAG